TCCCTCTACATAGATATAAAGAATATATTTCAAGAAACAGGATATCAAATACTTAATAACCAACTTAATGTATATACTTACATGATTGCAGTTCTGATCAACATCATTTAAAAAATCAACAATTCTGATTGCATTTATTTTTAAAATGGTATTAAATATGATATTCAGCATTATGCAATTAAATGATAGATGATATTTAGTCTAGTGCTTTCTATATAAAAAATTCTTAAAAGAACAATTTTATAAGCATTTCAAATGCTAATTTCAAATAACTGAATAATAGTTGTTATTTTGATATTTTTGAAACATTTGCATATATTAAAATATTAGAATCATACCATTTTGAAGAATTAATGTTTAAGCATTCAAAGATTTATAAAGCATATGTTAGGGCCATAGTAAAAAGAGGACATAGTGGCATAGTGGTTAAAATTATTTGTTTAAGTGAATGATGGTACGGGTTCACTTTCTTCCTAAGCTATTTATAATCATATTATGTTTAGAATTTTTAACTTACTTGCACTTTAATTTCATTATCTACAAAATTGGGTAATATTAGTATTAGTACTTACATTGGGTTGTTGAGGAGTAAATAATTTAGGTAATAAAAAACATTTAGAAGAATATAAAAAGTTAGCTATTATTAATGCAATTAAGGTAACCTCTGTAAGGGAAGGAATATTTTCTCATTTTGTTTTTACTGGGTCCTCAGATTATCGCAGTTACTAGCATATAGAAGACATTGAAGAATTATTATAGGGTAAAAAATCGCATTCACAAGTTTAAAAAATGTTTTATATATCTGCTTGAGATCCTTACATCCACTGATTCTATTATTATGCTTTCAATTTTGTGTGCAAAAATCAATCTATGAAGTAAAATAATTTTGATTTGTCTATGAAAATGCAATGTGTTAAACCATCATCTAAAAATATAAATTTCAATGAATTAGAAGATGTCAGTGCCAATACAAAATATATTTTCAAAAGATTCTGATGATATAGTTCCCAAATTTAAATTTGAAAAAAAATACTAGAAAGCACATTGACAAAATTCTTATATTTATTAGTATCTAGGATGGTCTCTGAAATAATTTCACAAAATAGATTCGGAGCAACAATAATTGTCTGAAATCCTCCTTGAAAATCAAGGGGATGAGGCAGAACTAAATAAATAGATAAAACAGAACAATATATTGTTATCTTGGAGATTCAGTATCAATGCTAGGGTGACAAAGTAATTTTTGAAATTTATAGGTAAAGAAATTTGTGTAACTTTCTAGTATCCACATTATCTTACTGAAAATACACATTTCGTGTTACTATTAATATGCAAAGAATTTGAACTTCTGGAAATATCATTTTGTTACATTTCTGGGAGAGTAATATTTCAGTAAGGCATATTTATTTATTGTAGCATTTGAGGTTCAAAATTATGGGAAAATGGCATAGGACAAGAATAGAGAAATTCATTACAAGTCAATACATAGTTGAAGAACATTTTAAATAAGCACAAGTACCTTCATATGGCTCTATGTGCAATTATTTTATATGTAATTCTTTTTAAGATCGTGTTTTTTATAAGATCCACACTGAATGACCTAGTAATAATTATCTAATAACTGAGTGGAATCAAGAAAACATTGAAACAGGAGATGAGGATATGGAAAACCTGACTGGAAAAGTAGGCATCAACTGTTAATTACAAAATCCCAGGACAAAACACAGAACAGTTAAAAAACCCTGCACAAGTACTTCCTGAGAACTCACACAGGTTTTTGATAGGATGATCTAGATCTAATGTCAGCCTGAGGAGTGAGTAATATAAAACTGAAAATCTTTATTAAGTTTTTTCCACTATATTATCTCTTGCATGGTGGCTCACCCTCATCTTGTAGGTTATACTTTTTACTTGGCCCATACGTTCTCTGCAGAGACGCTTCTTATCCTACCTTCAAGAAATATTGCAAGTGTTTTTGCTTGTCTTGACCAATTCTTTGTTCAAGACAGAAAGAACCTAGAAAACACCTCCAGAAGGAGACTCCAACACCCCCTAAAGTCTGGTAACATATCTGGTTTAGATAGCTAGGACTGCAGCAGACAAGGCCTTTGGGTATACTTTTTTCTCTCTCTCTAAAATCTACAGACTTGAAGCTATTTATTTTTTCTTCTTTCCCTGTCACTCTCTCCTAGGCTGAGAACACAAAAAAGCCTTGCCTAGGCCTTTGTGACCCATTATTTCAGGAACACCCCCAAAGCTATTGTATTTAGAGTGCCCCTGAGGAAGAGAGAGATGATCTTAATGAACTTGTCCTTAGATTCCCACCTGTCTCCGGGTGATAAGGGTCTCCAATCTGTATAATGAAGACAACCACACAGGGAGGTCTCCTCAACTTCTGTATAATTTTCAGGCAAGTAAATTAGTCCCATTCCTTCCACTGACTCAGAAATTCCACTAGAACCTAGAGACCCCAAGGAAGCTAAAATTCCTCAGCTCCCTTATCATGCTTCTCAGGCAACCTTAAATCCCTCTGAGTGCACAATTTGAAACACCATAAGATGTATTCAGATTCGTGCTTCTTATCCCTCTAACTCACAACTCATCCTACACCTAAGGGAAGTGCTATTAATAGAGGGGATTCCTTTAATCCAGGACCCTTTCTAATTTAAACTTTTCAAAAATGTTAACATCTTCAACTATGCTAACAGAAGTTAAATAATTAACTTTAGGACAGAAACTAGAAGCCCTTATTTCCCATCAGTTCAGAGTGATTTGTATCAGGCCATGCTCCTAGACGCAACTGAAGTTATTATAAAATATTTCATTACATTTAATCCTGCCTTTCTGATGCCTACTAGCCCAGAAATTAGCCATTCTTGTTAACAAGTAATCTCCCAGACCTATGCAAACAGGCAGAACATCAGTGAATTGTCCCTTTAAGACCCTGGGGATGTATGGTTCACTGATAGAAGTCACTTTGTCCAAGAAGGACTAGACAGATAGGTTTTATTGTCAGTTCACAATAGGTCATTGAAGCCAAAGACTTTCCTCCAGAAACCTCTGCTCAAAATGCAGAGGTAGTAGCTTTTATCTGAGCATTATATTAGAAAGACACAAAAAGCCAAACATCTACGCAGTCTCCAAATATGCCTATGTAGTGCTACATGCCATGTGGCAATCTGGAAAAAAGGATCTTGCTGACTCATAAGCAATCTATGAAATACATTCAGGATATTCTATGACATGTTTAGGTAGTCTATCTTCCCAAGAATGTTACTGTCCAATGAGTGACATGGTCCTGGAATCCACTGCCATAAGTGCAGTGTGAGTGATAGTAGAGATCTGATGCTCCATGCAGTGCTCTCCTGGGAGTGGGGTGCTCCTCTTCCTTCATCATAGATCTGCTTCTATTGGAGATAGAACCCAACTACTAAAGTGTGGGCCTGCTCTCTCATGTGGGGGACAAGGGATCATTCCATATCTGCTCTTGCATGTGAGGGTAGGACCTCATCCCTCCTGCATGGGTCTACTCTTTCACATGGGAGGGGAATGATATTTCAGGTTTGCTTTCTCATTTGGTGGGGGTTGCACTCTGGGTTTGGTTTCTCATAAGGATTTCAGGGTCCCTTAATCTAATGTGGATCTGCTCTCTCATTTGAAGATTGTGACATGGCTCTGGGTATGCTTTCCCATTTGGAGGGGTGATGCTCTGAGTCTACTCTTTCACATGGGGTCACTCTAATTCTACTCTTTCATGTGGGGAGGGAGAGCTGCTACAGGTCTGCTCTTGACTTTGATTTCATTAATAAACATAGATGTTCTATTTACTTTTAGCTTTTTTCCAAAATACATGTTCATTTCTTCTAGCTTCCTGTTGATTGCCAATTTATGTAAATATAACGTGTACTTTTTACCTGTTTTATATTTTCACAAAAGATATTCAATAATTCCCATATTCATAGTCCTTGTGTAATGGGCTCTATTATTAATTTTATTTGTTGATTTACTGAAAATTTTGGTCTATTAATTTTTGTGAGATAGTGCTGCAAATCTACTTTCCAGTATCAGTTTTTCAAAACATTGCTTAGTGAGGAATTTGTGGGTCCACTCAGAGACATCAGGTCTGGATTTCCTTTCAGGTTTAAGTCTATTTTGTCCATTCTAGGACACAGAGTAAAGGAGGACTGAATATTTTTCTTATGGCAAAGGTCTGAGTTTTAAGTTTTGTTTTAATTCTGAAGTGTCATGTCATATATTATTTACAAAATTCATAAAATCAATCTTGTAATAAATCCTGAATAATTTCATGAACATGAAATTTCTTAAAGAAAATATGTAATCTGCAACATTGCTATTATACTTTATTTTATAAAATAAGTAGTTATAATATAGATAAGTTTATTTTATTTTAATGATCACAATTGATATTATAATCTGAATGAACTGAAGGTAATGGAATTCTACTTAATAGCAATACATATGTGAAAGGTAAGGATCTGATTTACAATTGATTGCCTTTTATTCAGTACATTAAAATTGTAAAGACTGGACTATCTTCTATTAATGTTCTTGAAGGTGATAATCATACCTCAAGATGAAAAAAAAGTCAACTACAAAAGCTACTGGCACATATTTCCGAAAAACAATGGCAATGATTTAGTTTTAAATTTTAGAAAAACATCGAAGTTATTCTAGTTGCTATGAAAATACTAACACTTAAGTTTAGGTAGGAAGAAATAAATCTCATAGTTCCAAAGTCTGACCACTAAACATCCAAAAATATTATCTACACTCATATTTATTTGGATTTCAGTTAGATAAGACTGCCGGTGATTTGTTTGTTTCTTTCTTTGTTTTTGGCTTTAGGTGACGTTATAGCAGTTTGCACAATAAATTTCTTTTGGTGTTCATGACATTCTTATTATATAGCTTCTGTTAAAAGTGGAATGATTTTTCATCTGACATTGTCTGTAAATAAAAAAAGCTAAAATTGTTCTACAATCGCTTCTCGGCCTTTTGGCTAAGATCAAGTGTAAAATTGTTCTACATATACATTTTTTGTATTGTTGATATAATTTTATGAATATACTGTTATTGACTTATCTATCAAGCAAATTTATTCTTAGACAGCAGCAAAGTACCAGTGATAAATACATGGAGAAGAAGAAAACTATATCTTCTTACATCTGTTCTTATATCAAAAGAGTGATGATTCATGTTAACTTTCATTCACTTCCCTGACTGTGCCTTGATTTATCTGTATTATGAGGATGCCACTACACTGTGAATGTGTTCTTATCCTCTGGTGTATTTGCTTAAATTAGTATTACTGCAACCTGTTCAGTATTTTCTTTTATATATGAGCAGACAGGACTAAGAAGAGTGTGATAGAAATGGAAAAAAAAGAGAAATTAGTCATAACATAAAATCATGCTCATGATTATGTCCTTCTAAAATAACTTGTCTTGAATAAATTGTATACTCATTCAATGTGCCATCACCCTCTGTGAACTATGAACACAATCAGAGCCCTGGCTCAATGTGGTTAAAGATAATACAACTAAATAATAAACCAAAAGCCCACAGATCAACAACTGTAGATATTACATTTGCACAAACATGGTCTTGGTATTTCCATAGTGTTATATTTATACCATATTTCACTGAAAATAAGAACTACACAAAAATAAGCCCCACTATGGTTTTACAGGATGCTCACAATATAAACCCTATCCCAAATATAAGCCCCACTTAAGATCATTAACCAGACAGAAACATTTAAAATGTCCACAGCAACATATGACAGAAATTTTGAATTATAAATAATGTTAATATATAATTAAGTATAAATAATACCATTGACATTAATAATTATAATGCATAATATAAATTACAATTAAGTATTTGTAAATACCCAAGTGGGTACCTTTGCATGAAAGGTAAACACTTATGTAAATAGATAAATTTGTGACTTTATGCCAAATGACCAATTTTTTTTTGAGACAGGTCTCACTATGTAGTTTAGGATGGCCTTGAACTCATCTAAACTGTTATCACTTTTGTTGCTAACCCTTTGTCATAAATCTTCAATTAACTCTTGATTTAGTGGTGGATTTAGGGATAGTTCTAGTTTGACCCCTGGGAAAGATGAGTGTAGAAAGAAGGAGCTATTTCTTCACGTACAAGAAGGTAATTGTGGAGGATTTCAGAGGCATGAACGTTTTGACTTTCTGCAAATAGAAGTTTGAATTCTGCATCATCTGAAAACGGCATGCAGAGTATAATAACCTCAGTCAACAGATGGATGATGAACATGCTAAGTACAAATGTGGATCAGGTTGGCAACCATTATTCCCTGATCTGGAAGACAACTGTGAATTGATTGTTGACAGGAGAGCAAAGACTTTGAATGTGTGCAGGGCTGATAGTCAAACATTTGCCTGGTGATCGCCCCATGAATAGCAATATCCACAGAAGAACTCAAAGCATCATAATACTGCCTGAATGGTTTCGTTCAGTGATATGGCCTGTCTCTAAGAAAATTAAAAATACTTCAAGCTGGAAGATACTGAAGCCAAAAAATAACCTGCATTCAAGTCCTTTGTTGATGGTATGGTCTTTTCTAAATGCCTACTTTCCAATATGACTTCTATAGATGAAACTGCAGTGTTTATTGACCAAATATCTCAAATGACAACTGACAAGAATGATACCTCATAAATCTATATTCCTTCCACTGTGTACAAAAGAGCACATGAAACCTGTATTTTGGCAATTGATCTGGATGGAAAGAAAGCCCCTACTCTATATATTACCAAGGTTAAGAAATATAAAATTAAACATTTCAGGCATTTATATCCTTTTTTTATTTTTGTTGTTCCAGAGATTGAACTCTGGACCTTGCATTGTGAGGCAGGTGGCAGCACCACTGAGTTAAATCCCCAGCCCTAGGAATTTATATTCTTGAAAGCAAAAAAGCCTGGTACACACAGGCTATTATAAGGAAATAGCTTTATTTCACACTGTCACTTGTTTTGTGCGATTGCCAAAAAGGTCTGCTAATCTGGGATTCGGTCACAATTCACCACACTAAAGATATGAAGAACTTCCCTGCAGACAGAAGAGTAGATCAAATAATAATTCTTGCAGGAAAGATGGCCTATTTCTGCATTCTTGATATTGAAACAAATAAGTGATTCAAGAACAATTTCTGCAAAGATATCAGTGACAACTTTGAACACAGATTGAAGAAAAATCAGCATGGAAACACTGTGAAGCTTAGACTAAAAGAGCTAATGACTTGGGTGAAGAATTCATGGAATAAAAATCACTGAAAGCTGTGTTGCCCATGCATTACAAGCAGGCTATATGGACAAGAAGAGCTTATTTAAGGAGAGCTGTATTGCTCCGCAAGGGAGATTTTGGCCAATACTTCAACAAGATATGGAGTCACAAGTAATTCATGTAAGAATTCAGGGTCTACAGAGTTATGATAATGTTGCTCAAGATAACACAACTGTATTCAAATAAATGTAGATTTCTATATGTGAGTAAATGTAGATTTTTGGCCATGAATAAATGAAAAATATTGTTTTACATGAATAAATCAGACATGCCCTGAAAACAAGCCATATTGCATACTTTTGAGCAAAAACTAATATAAAATCATGTCTTATTTTTAAGGAAATATGGTAATAGTAAAGCTATTCAAACAAACTGAAGTAATGGTGCCTATAACCTTAATTCTAAAGATAACTGAGAAAAGATCATTGTAGTCAGGATCAGTATAATAAATAGCTAATGAACAATTTGCCTACCTCTGGCCTTACCACTTCTAAAAGCAAATATGGTAATTTAAATTTTGTTGTTCTATGAACTCCAAATTTTGGAATTAAGTAATAAGGACAGGCAATACTAAAATGTATAGCTAATGGGATATGTTTTAGCAGAGAAGAAGGAGTGAAAATATATTACTATTGTTTTTGTTTTTGTTTTTGGTACCAGGAATTGAACTCGGGACATTGCGCTTGCAAGGCAGGAAGTGGATCCACTGAGCTAAATCCCCAGTGGTATTGTTAATATGAGGATATTACAATTATATCAGGGAATATAAATGAATAAATATAAAAGCAAATTCTGAGACAACATTGTTTTATTTCAGACAAAATTGGTGATATTAAATTAAATTTGACAATTGAAATATACTTAAGCAAGTAGAAAGTTTAACAGGTAGAGAGGCCATGAGATGAATGAATAGTCAAATTATTTTAACAAGATACAAACAAATATTTCTTGTGTGTGTGTGTGTGTGTGTGTGTGTGTGTGTGTGTGTGTGGTACTAGCAATCAAACTCAGGATCTTGCATTTTTAAGGCAGGTGGCAGAACCACTGAGCCAATTCTACAGCCCCAAATATTTCAAATTGTATTCTGCAGAACTTTACCTAAATATCTTGCCTACTCTCAAAATATGCCAAAATCTATGCTCAAATATTGCATTCTCCCATATTAAGTCTGTATCTAATTACCAGGTCATTTAATGGGATAGATATAACTTTAATCTCAAATAGAGATTTTAATGTTACCTTTTTGGTTTCTCTTTTTATCTCACAATCATATGCTGATTTCTGTTAGCTTGATATCAGAATTTAATTTCAAATGTGTCATTTTATTTCCAAGTTATACTACTACTTTATGCAAGCCACCATTATATATTACTAGAGTACTGCAAAAACCCTCCTAGCTACTTCTCCTGCTTTCAATTTTTCTCCTTTGCTACTCCAACTTACAGATTACTTCCAGAAATAATAAATATAAATCTTATCAGTTAAATGCTTAAAAGAGTTTAATATCTTTTTATAGCATTCAGAATGAAGGCCAATCCCCTTACATGCTATGAAAGGTCCTGGCCCCAAACAAACCATTTTCTTAGTTTTTCCCCATTTGAACACAGCCAACAGTATATTCCACCTACATACAAATGCACACTCCTTTCTAATTTGTGCCACTATACATTTGTGCATGTTACTGTTCTATGAGATTTTCTTTTTTCTGAATGAGTTTTTAATATTCTTCCCCCAGTGGCTTAACTCAGTGTCACATCCTTCAGCAAAATCTTCCTGATTCCTTTTGGTACACATCCCTTTTTTCTATAATTCTGAACCATATTATTCATTCTTTCATTTACTTATTCAGTCAACAAATATATATACAAATACCTGATATATTCTAAGTATTTTATTTCACTCATGCAAGCACACAACATCTTAATTTCTAGGTCATAAATAAGCAAATGACTCTATGGAAACATAAAATAATTTAAAGAAAATGTTGTAAGTGCTATATTAAAAGTAAATATAAAAAGGGCCAGGGATTCAGCTCAGTGGTTCTGCCAGCTGCCTCACAAGTGCAAGGACCTGAGTTCGATGCCCAGTAACAAAAATAAAAAGTAAATGTAAGATATAATAAAAAACCACAGGCAAAACATCTGGTACACAGCCCTTATTTGTGTCAAAAGTAAGGGTTTATATATCAAGGAAGTTTCCTTGAAAGAGGTATAGCTGAGGCAAGCTTCAAAGAATGAATAAAAATCTCTTTCTTTCATTGTGCCTCTACCTAATAAATGGCCTATGATGCAATTCACTAAGTTAAGGGTCATAACAGTGGGAAATGTACTAGGCATATTTCCAAGTAGTGATATCAAGCATAAGATTTAGGAATATAAGCTAAGCCTAAAACATGACCTGTGTATTTAAAAGCATAGTTAATATTCAATTTACTCATTCCTGAGACAAATTACTCAACACTCACTCTGTGAGGAAGAATGTTTGAATTTGTTTGGTTTCAATTTATGATTGGATGGCTCCAAAGAATTGATATGGCAGAAAGGTTTGATGGAGCAGAGTTGCTTAGATTGTGGTGGCTAGGAAATAGCAGAGGAAGTATGTCAGACCAGACTGGTCAAGGATCTAGATTTAGAAACCTTAACTCAGCTAGACACACTTAGAAATACACTATATCAATTCTTTGAGTGGAACTTAAAACCAATCCAGTTGAATATCCATCTTACAATACATGCCAACCCCTTTCAACTTGAAACCCAAACACATCTCCTTAAAATATACTTAATTTTCAAATACAAAATCTTCATAAGAATTAGTTCATAATTCTGCCTAACAAGTAAAATTATCTTGCATAC